TGGTTGAAATTCTAGCTGCTATCGTTTGGTTGAGCGGGATTGATGGAATTCGAAGAAAAGTTTTCCTCGAAAAAGTTGTGTGTGAAGCTATTTGAATTGGAAGATTTCAAGCGCCCTCTCTTCGCCTAAATAGAGTAACGGATGGATTCATTTATGGCAACTCGTGGTCAATTGATTCCCAGTCTTTAAGTTACTTCTCAAGTCACGGATCAGAATGTAAGCTTCCCTTGTCTTGCATTCACTGATTCAACTAACTGAGATCGAACTTCAAGTACTTCTAGGAATATGCAAGCCAATGCAACCAAATGGGGGGACCTTCACGAACAAATGCTGCTCAATTTCTGTCCAACAGAACTCCGCGGCTCTTTTTCACACTCTCTGTTATGGAGGATCATGGTTCGAGGAAAAGACCCAGGGTGTGAAATGGCAGGGTTTGGAGCCCCATTCACCCTTTACGAAGGCAAAATGTGCAAATCGGCTGCTATCTCAGCTTTGAATCAAAACATATCCACAAGCTCATCGAAAAGCGTTATTTCTGAAGCCACTGTGTGTTGCATAGCACTACTACTGTTAGGCGCTTCTATAGATGGTCATCTTTTGAACGAAGTGCAGACTCACAGACAAGGTTTATCGAAAATAATAGCTCTTTATGGGGATATGGAAGCTATTTACCCGTCTTTGATGGGATTCTTCCAGTTAGTGGATGTCAAATCTAGCCTTGCGCAAAGAACTACGCCAATATTTCCACTTCCTCCCAGGCTTCACCGGCAATTTGCTCTTCACTCTCAAGCTCCACCAGCCATACCAAGTAACTGTTCATCCAAACTGGGAACTTCTTTCTTCGACACCAAACTCGCTGGTAGAATTTCACCAGCTATCTACGAATGCATCTGTTACACCTGGCATCTAATGTTCATTGTTGAAGACTATCATACCAGCAGGAATTTTGCAGATCTCTATGACGTTGACAATTTCACAACCTTGGGACATATTCTCCTTACTATACCTGCTTCGAGCCAGTGGATGAACGATCCATTCAATGAATGTCTCCGATTATCATTGCTCATCTACGTGAATACCTCACTCTACAAAACTCCTCTGTTTTTCGGCTGGATGACAACAATGCTTTCCGATTTAAGAAGTTCGTTGTTGCTTTTAGATCGGAGTAAAATTCTTTCTGAAACTCCCGAGATCTACCTGTGGATGTTGATCTTGGGTGGTCATTTGTGTAGTGGTCAGAGGACGGGAATGGGATGGTGGAGTTCCAGATTTCAGGAGATTACTGAATATATGGGAGTTGGGAAGTTTGACGATATGGTGTCGTTACTTCAAGGCGTTCTCTTCACGGATAGAAGTGACTCGAAGGCTTGGAGGGGTGTCTGGAATACCATGATGGACTTTTCTGAAGAAGAATCACTGGAGGGTTGATCTCCAATTAAAATGAATGTATGTTTAAGTGGACTATCACAGATACCTAGGTAGTGAAGTTTCTCTCTCCTCATTCTCACCAACTTAGAGACCAAATTACAGAGCCCATTCGAAATAATTCCCCACCTGCCATGCCCTTGACCAACGTACCCATCTCCACACCACAGCCAACTACGTTTCAATTGATAACTATACTAGATATTCTCAGAAGCATAAAGAATAGCAGCTTTGAATCATTCCAGATAGAATGAGCTACTGGTGAGGTTTGCAAGGAAATACAACCTCCCGACGGCTTTACAACCTTATTGCGGGGGGTTTAATTTTCTGAGACTTTTTGGGCCGGAGTGAGTACTAGTATCTGCCAGGTCGGATAACGGGCTGCCGAGGGTAAATTGCAATCTATAAGAAAACAAACTCAAAGAAAGTGTTGTGAATTATTCGTCTCTCCAGTTTTCCGTCTCTCTACTTCCATTCGTCTAGTTCGCTATCTTACAGCCCATTGCTAGCAAGGAAATCGGTGACAACTTTGTAGAAACCAGTAGCATTGGTATGGAAGTTCATTCCATGCCCCGTATCAGGTTGCACATAAGTCTTCAATGATGAGGAACTGGGGAAGTCAAGTTTCGCGGCTGGTTCCAATACCCCTTCGCAATACCTGCAAACCATTTGTCAGCGGCATATGATTATTGAATAGAAAGATTGACAAACCCATTGCAAAATATGAAATCATTCGATCCAGCTACCACCAGCACCGGGCCGGTGAAGTTTGTGCGACCAGGAGAATCCCCAGAAAGAAGTTCGGTTATACCAAACGGTTGCTTATGCTGCTCAGAAAACATGGCTGCGTCAGAAGTATAACCTGGGGCTTTGAAAAAACTAAAGATAATCTTAGATCATTCGATCATTCGATCATTGGAGGGTAAGCACAACTTACGTATTGACGTTTGAATAGAGGTCGACCCATGTCACATAACCGGTATCCAATCGCGACCACGCTTCACGGAATAGATTAGCGATTTTGAGTTGCCAAGCTGATATCAGTATAGGTGTCTTGACGAGAGTAGCGTTATTTGAGTAGCCTGTTAGAATAATGGCATCGGCTGCTCCAGGCTTTGCTTTCGCAACAGCATGAGTTATGATAGAACCGAAAGAGTGTCCGATGAGGACAGTAGATTTGGGAACTCCAAGTGTACCAGTATATTTTCCTGATTTGACTAAAGCCGCAAGCTGAGCCAAGATTGACTCCTGGATAGAGAGCTGGTTGATGTAGCCAGAGACTTTGGATGACTGTCCAACACCAAGCCGGTCGTAAAATAATACAGAATAGCCTTGTCCTATCACAAAATCTAAGAAGCTGTATTTTTCTGGTTGATATGGGATGTTCCAGTACCTAGAGCATTCATTAGCTTTGATAAAACTCGAATTGTCCTCAACTCACGAGCGATCGAATCCTAACCCGTGACTGGCCAAAATAACAGTACTTGAGTTTTGAGTTCCATCGAATTTGGGTTGACAGAATGTTGCTCCGATAGTGTATGAGGCATTGGATCGTTCAGATGTCGCAAGGAATGGCACTGGGGGTTGTTGGTTTGGATCCCGGCCAGCACGATCGGCGCTGAATTGAGCGAGACCAAAGTTGTTTGTCCATTTTGAGGCGTTGCTGAAGATTACATTCGTGGATGTAGGATAGACCGGGATAGTGTAATTCACACATGATGCACTAGCTTGACTATAGTTGTGCACAATAAAAGCCCCATTGGCCACAGTGAAAGAGGTATGAAAGAGTGCTAATAGGAGCAATCTATCCAGAGAAATTTGAGACATAGTGAATGGCTTCATGGTAGCAAAGAAAAATGAATTATAAGTACAACGGAAGAAAATCGAGAGTGCGTCAATGACACAATGGAACTACTTATACCTGAAATTCTGGCCTCGCATAATGGCATTCAGCTATTGAAGGTTACGTGAGCAACCATTGTCAATGTGTAAACGAGCTGGCTGAAGCCGTCTCAGTGGGTCTTTCCAGGAAAATCATTGCAGAAAGGGATGTGCGGATATTTCATCTGAACAGATCAAATGTAGAAGGCTCGATGCATGTGGATTTGGGTTTACAAACAGGTGCCTGAGTTAGGTATGGTATGTCGTTATAAACGTATAGTACAACTCCAAGTGTATACTGTAATCTTACACTGGTTTAGATCCTCCCACGTGTAAACATAACAAAAGATGGCGCAGAAAACGGGCAATATTTGGTCGAGAATATCTGACTGTTTGGATGTAGTTACCAACTAATCGCTTGTATAACATTCTCCACTATTCTCTACGCCTTACCCAATTAATATCTGTCCAGCATTCTAGTTTGCAATCAAAGCTGCCGGACATCCGAGAGGGAAAGTGATTTGGGGTACGAGTACACGTAATTCCTGAAAATCAAGCCTCCCAATTCGCGTGACATCATTTTTCGGAATTTGGTCCGATCGAGCTGATATCCTAATATCTGGGACCCTACTACTTATAGTATCCTGTTTTCGTCTGCCACCAACACGCCTTGTAAGGTATTTGTGGAAGTGAAACTAATGTGGAAAAGGAGGATTTCAAAGCCACTTGATACTCTTTTGTATAGGAAATTAATCGGTAAGGTTATCATCGAAATACATATGACACTGGAGGTAATACCTCTCAAAAGGGGAAGGGAAACCCAACGGATCACCACAGTCGTGTCACGTGACGTCCCTGAATAGATGGAAACGAACTCGCTATAAAAGCTTTAGATAATTAATCCCTTCTTTAATATATTTTATGTAGTACGCTTACTTAGTAAGAGACAGCGTAGGAAAGAACCACTTAGCTACTTAAGTACTACTGAGGAAGTAATAGTTAAGTTAAGTAGAGTTAAGTATTAATTCTTACTAATTCAATTGTAATAAATATAGTATTTAACTACTTAAGTAGTACTTAAGTATTACTTATACTGCTTATAAAAATATAATTAAAGTATGAATTAGTTATACATAAAATTAACTCCTGTTGTGCTGGGTCTACTTTCTCTTTCGCTCCACTTCCTTATTTGATCCACTTATAGTTCTGCTGCCTAAATGCTTCATGTCTGCCTAAACCTTACACTCTTTATATAAACACCTTAGATAGCTACCTTTTACAATGCAATCGATTCTCCATGACCTTCAGTACCCAATACCCTTTCAACCCAATAACTCCAACTTAGTCTATCTATTCCTTATTCTTTCTATTAAAGAACCTCTAGCTTTTAAGACTTATTATTTGCCTAAAAGCCTTTTTTAATAGCTTATGTTAAATTTAAGCTCTCTATTCAAGAAAAGATTCCACTTAACAGAAATCTAGATCTAAAAAATCACGTGTATCCTCCTCCAAGTTAAGATGATTTTGCGTTTCTACTAATCAAGGTATGACAATTATCTGGGAATCTGGAAACTAATCATATTTACTGGCTATTCTAGTAAGCCTTATAGATATACTGTCCTCAAGGGACTTTGAGTAGAACTATATAAATCATAGGGAAAAGTAAGGCTTTGGAACTTAGAGCCAGGAGGTTTCATGGCCCCGTCTCCATTTTGGACATTGAAAGGTGAACTAAGATGCTCTTATCATTCTAGATGTCTTGAGTGACTTATGATTTTCTGTTTACCCAGAATGATTCACATAGTTAGCACCTTCAGGGAATCAGGGTAACAGACCTACAGGTTTAGGATAATTCCCTTCAATAATTGGTCACGTTAGAGCAGTTTACCGCTACGCATTAGAGGATTCACTGCAGCTTTGCTTTTACGATAAGTGAAGTTGCTATTGAGACCCACACAGAGAAGGTATGACCTGGATTTATTGTTGAACTGCTCAACTTGCAACAAGGACAGGATAACTTGGTGAACCAAGCCCCTGTACGCGACAAGTCTCTTTCGCTATCAGCACTGAGCGAAATCATAGCGATTCTTTAAGAAGACATAACACAACCTTTCCAATATTGGTGCATCTTACCACGACAAAAGCACACGATGGCTACAACCTCGATATTCGGCAGTGGCATCAGCACCGATAAACCTGATTCCCAACCTGATCCTCAACTCCCGACTACCACAAATCCTTCGGCCGAGCGGGAACTAGACGATCTGGAGACAGCTGAGGAGTTTTGCTTTCCACGGGCAGATCTGCCGATTATTATCAACGTACAAGGCAAACGTGTCAAAGGAAAGGTTTGCTCCCAATCCATGTGCTTGGCGAGCAAAGTATGGCAAAAATTCATTTACCCGCCATTTGGTCCCTCATTGGTAGCCTCCCCTGCATCAGAAGGAAGTCAAGAAAGCGCAACTTCTGTTCTTGATCTCAGCGAAGAAGATAGCCCGGCTTTACTCATTTTACTCAGAATCGCACACCTCCGGCTTCACATGATCCCTAAAAGTTTGTCTTTTGAAGAACTACTGAATTTGGCAGTTCTTGTAGACTTTTGCGACAACATTGAGCTAGTAGATCCCTGGGTCTCCCGATGGCTACCTAGTGAAGATTCAGAGTGTGATGCGACTTGGGACTGGGAATGGCTGTTCATATTCTGGGTTTTTGGTCGAGTTCACACCTTCATAAAATTGGCAAAAAGCGTAATAAAAGGCTGTACCAACGCTCGTGTCACTCTTTCTACACAGGGCGCCAAAACTACCGGCGAAATGAAACTGCCTCCTCACTTATATGGTGCGTTAAACCTGACAGACAAGTTGGTAAGAGCTAACGACCCAGCTAGACAGTATCAATAAGTGCTACTGGGAGCAAGTACAGAAACTCATCGATGTTCCATATTCTCTGGCGGACAGTTACCATAGCTATTACTCCAGCGCCAGCATTCACGTCCGAACAGTCAAATGTCAAAAGAACTCGGCTGCATGCGATGCAACCATCTATGGAGCCTTGGTATTAAGCCTTATGAGACTTAATTTATGGCCTCAAAAGGACCCCAAAGAGGTTTTTGTCGCTATCCCTAGGCTGGGAGCGGACTTAAGAGTTTTGGGTTTGAAGCTATCGCCTCAAGGGGTGGGATGGAACGTTGCAGACATTATCCACGAATCTAGTATTCCCGATATCTGGAGGGCGGTATCTGCTATTCTCCAAGAAGACGTTAATCCCTTTCTCGATTCTCATATCCGACACATGGAGACTCAGAGAAAAAGATTGGACCGACAAAGCCAGTCATTCTTTTATGGGAGAGATTCCTTGACTTCACTGTCCGGATTTGACACCAGTTAGACAATCATAATTACAAGCTACGTGATCTATAACTTCATGAATCTGTATGTATCGTGATAATTTAAGACAAACATAAATGAGCACTATTTGGGCACTATCCTTTCCTTGTCCTTGGTGAGTTTGAGAGTTTACATGGGCCTGAAACATCGTGAGAAGTTGCGTAGGAAGCCTGGTAGTTATTTTATACAATAGATAAAGAGTTATCATTGTAAAGTTCTAATGCAAGCTACTTATTTTCTTTGGTATACTCAGGGTAATAAGAGGTGAAGGGTCTGATTGCTGTAAATGGGTTTATAACTAGTTTAACTATATGGGCCGTTTAGAATTATTCAATTATGATAACTAAACTTGTGAGGGTGTGGTTTCCAGTGGTATTGTATACATTCAACCTCTGGCTTATGCGTGTGACTAAGTATTTTTGTTTTCTCATAGATGATTATTTACACATAAAGCAAGCAATTTATTAATTTGCAGGAGCTAGCATATTTGATCACTTGTCATAATGAAAGTTAGCAAAGTATCTTATCATAAAGACCTCGGCGATTTCTGCTAGCTTCTTTTCCCGTAAAATTGATTTGGTAGATGTGGAAATATTAGCAAAAGTGTCCTTGATATTTTGGACAACTTCAATGGCGTTCCACTCTGCTTCAACCTATTACGACTGAGTTAGCCAGAAACTATCACTATTTGAAGCAGAGCCCAAATTGATTCTTTTCCTCATTACCCCGCTTTATGGGAGTTTACTACTAAGATCACAGCCCCCAATTTCTGATTGATAACCTGATTTGTTAATATTATCTTTTTGAACCTGAAAATTCCATTGATACCCCTAACCAAGAGGCCGAAGAGCTAGCAGAGTGGATAGAAGACAATAGCCTCAGCCTCCTTAACAAGCCAGGCGAAATAACCTTTTTCAGACAAAACTCTACCACTCCCTCTGTGCTCGACCTTGCACTAGTATCACAAGAAGTAAGTGAACATGNTCCAAAGCTTTGGAATCAATAACGCCATCGCCTCAGACCACTGGGGCCTGCAACTTCATCTCTACGGAAAGAATAGAGACTGGGTCAACAACTCGCTACACCAGGCACAATATAACACAAAAATAGCGGACTGGAAGCTGTTCAGGGAAACCGTCAACATAAGCATCCTCAACTCCCCTCATCTCAGAACTCTCACAACCATGGAAAATCCAGCTACGGTAGA